AGAGTACTAGGGCGACACTCAACGAGGATTCTCTTACCTCGTACATCCTGCAGGATGAAGCGATGCAGGAAGCTGAGCGGCCCTCGGAGCTCCTTGCACAGGGGAACTACGTCGCCCCGGTGAAGCAAGGTGGTCGACCGAGGTAGCGCGGGAAGTTTAGCGGCGGTTGTAGCAGTGGCTGGAAGACGACCAAGGACGCCGACAAGAAGAAGTCGGCCAAGGATAGCGGTCGTGGAGGAGGAAGTCGACGTCGGGAGTGCTGGCTGTGCGGCGACCCCGACCACCTCTCCTTCGAGTGCCCCGACCATAGTGACTCCGACGACGACAACGCCAAGGGAGGCCGCGGGAGGTCTGGCAGCCGTCGTCCCCGTCGTGCTTGTTGGTCGGGGTCGTGGAGCCGACCGTCTCGCTGGTGCCGGAGGCCGGCGAGGACTTCCAGGCGATGGCGGCAGCCGTGCAGGCAAACCCGGCAGTAGTTCCGCTCGATAGTAGTTGCTCCCACCACTTGATGGGGATAAAGGAGGTCTTCGTCGACCAACAGCCAAGCGGCGATGTCAAGCACGTGCGCGGCTTCAATGGGGCGCTGCAGGACGTCCAGGGCCGCGGCACTGTTGCTCTGCAAGGGGAGGCCGGGAGGCAGGTGCTCATCCCCGACGTGCTCTATGTCCTGGGCGTGCGAGCGAACCTGCTTTCGGCCGGTCAGTTGAAGGAGAACGGCGTGAAGCTGCAGAGGACGGCGACGGGATGTTGCTCGTCTCGGCAGCGGGAGACGTCCTCGGTTGGGCGTCCTACACCGGACGAGTCCTCTGCACCGACCTACGTCCCTGCTCGGCGAAGTCGACAACGTCCATGACAGATGTGGTGGCCCTGCGGGCGATAGTCTCGGCGACGAAGTCGACGCCGGACAGACTACATGCGAGGATCACGCACGTCGCCATGGACACCATCCGGAGCTCGGCGAAGCACGAGGTCGCCACTGGGCTGGACCTCAAGTTGGCGTCTGGCGCTGACTCACCGTGTGTCTCGTGCGTCGGCAGGAAGCTGGCGCGACATACCTTCCCCGAACAAGGCCCCGACGCCGACGACGTGCTGGCCGTCGTGCACGTCGACCTGTGCGGGCCATTCCGGGTGGCTGCCAAGGATGGCAGCCTGTACTTCTTGCTGCTGAAGGACCGCAAGACCCGCTACGTGTGGGTGAGGCTGGTCGCCAAGAAGTCGGATGCGCTGCAGGAGTTCGTGTAGTGGCTGGCGATGACTGAGCGGCAGACGAAGAAGTCGGTGTTGATGCTGCGCTCTGACCGGGGAGGTGAGTTCCTTGGGAAGCAGTTCACCAACTTCGTGAACGGCAAGGGGATCGTCCACGACCTGACCTGCCCCTACACCCCGCAGCAGAATGGCATGGCGGAGCGCGAGATGAGGATGATGGTGGAGTCGGTGCGAACGATGCTGCTGCACATGGGCGTGCAACACCACTGGTGGCACCTCGCTCTGCGGCAGGCCGTCTGGGTCCGCAACTGCCTGGAGCGGTCGACGCTGCAGCCGGGGATGACGCCATACCAGCTGCTGACCGGGAAGAAGCCCGACTTGTCGCTGGCACGGGTATGGGGCTGCATGGCGCAGTTCTTGGTCCCCGAGCAGCAGCGTGGTGGAAAGCTGAAGCCGAAGGCCAGGTGGGGCCTTCACCTCGGCATGTCGGAGGAGAGCAAGGGCTGGGACCTCCTCGACATCGCCGACAACCGGGTGGTCACCACGTCTGACATGGTGTTCTACGAGGTGTGGAAGTCGGAGCACGGGCCAGCGTCGGGGCGAACGCAGGCCAACCCGCCGACGGACACCTCGACAGCAACGCTCCCTCTGCTCGCCGAGGTCGGTGAGCCTGCTGCTGAGGACGTCGACGATGTCCCCTCTCTCTCCCCCTCCCCTACCCTCCTGCCCCTCCACTTCTGGTCGACCTACATCGGCTGACTCCGGAGTCGGCCTCCGGCGATGAGGGGAGAAGTGGGACGTCGCCTGCGGCGCCGGCCAAGAGCATCGCCGGTGGCCGACGTAACGAGCAGCAAGTCGACGTGGGAGTGAAGTCGACGTCGATAGGGGAGGAGCAGGCCAAGGAGGTGCAGCCGGCTTTGGTGAAGCCGGCGAAGAAGGCACCAGCAGGGCAGCAGCTGACAAAGGAGCAGGCAGCAGCGACACCGACCAAGGAGCACTGGCGAGCTGGAAGGGCAAGGCGGTGAAGGCCGCCATGGAGGAGGAGATCTGCAGTCTCATCGGCATGGGAACCTGGGAGCTGGTCGAACGCCCACCCAGGGTGAACATCATGAAGAACCGGTGGGTGTTGACGACGAAGTACCACATCGACGACACCGTTGAGCGAGAGAAGGCAAGGCTGGCCGTGAAGGGCTTCACACAGGTGTATGGTGCCGACTACGACGAGATGTATGCGCCGGTGAGCAGCAACGTCACGCTGAGGATCTTCCTCAACATCGTCGCCGTCCTCGACCTCAACTTGATGCAGCTCGACATGAAGAATGCCTTCCTGCAGATCAAGCTCGACCGGGTGCTGTACATGTACCAGCCGGACTACTTCAACGACGGGACCGGCCGGGTGTGCAAGCTGCTGAAGAGCCTCTACGGCCTGAAGCAGTCGCCGTTGTTGTGGTACAAGGCTCTCGACGGTGTGCTGCTGGGCGCTGGCTGGAAGAAGAGCCAGGTCGACACGGCGCTCTAATTTAAAGTCAACGACGACAAGGTGACCTGCTGGGTGCTGGTCTACGTCGACGACCTGCTCGCCGCCAGCAGTAGTGCAGTGATGCTGAAGGAGCTGAAGGAGCTGCTGGAGGCCGCCTTCGAGCTGCGGGAGATCTCGCCGATGCAGAAGTACCTCGAGCTGGAGATTGTGCGAGACAGGTCGGTGAGGAAGTTGTGGCTGCACCAGCAGGACTCCGCCGACAAGCTGCGTAGGCGGTTCCTCGACGAGGAGCAGAACGGGCGCACCCCGAAGACGCCGGTCTCGGTCGACGCCTATGCCACACTCACCTTCGATGGCGAGGAGGCACAGGAGCGCCAGGAGGAGTACCGGCAGAAGGTCGGCTCGATGCAGTTCGCGGCGACGACGACGAGGCCGGACATCGCCTTTGCCTGCAGCAAGCTGGGGAGCGGCCTCACTGTGAGGAGCGACCAGCACTGGCGCGAGGTCGACCGTTGCCTCGCCTACCTCGCCAACACCCGTGACACCGCCCTGGAGTTCGGCGGTGGAGCAGAGTCGCTGAAGCTGGTTGGCTACGTGGACGCCGGCGACGCCGGCGACAAGCAGAACCAGACGAGCACGGGCGGCTACGTGTTTGTCTTTGGAGGGGCCGCCGTCTCTTGGTCGAGCCAGCGCATCAAGTGCGCGACGCTGTCGTCGACCGAGTCGGAATACGTGGCGGCAACCGAAGCCGGCAAGGAGGGACGTCGCCTTCGCTTCCTCCTTGCAGAATTCCGGCAGCTGGACGCCGGGACGCCGACTGTCCTTCGGGTGGACAACAAGTCGCCGAGGGCATGGAGTTGACGGGCAACCTCAAGCACATGGAGCGGCGACAAGCCTGGCTCCAGCACATGGTAAAGCGCGGGAAGTTTTCGCTAAGGTACATCCCGACCGCTGAGCAGCCAGCCGACTTCCTGACGAAGGCGCTGCACTACCCGGCCTTCAACCAGTGCTCCGTTGCAATCGGCCAGGTGCGCCTAGTCGACGTGGGCGACGGTGACAAAGACGTGCAGTAGTAGGTGCCATGCCCTCTTGCATGGCTGGTGCGGTGACCGGCGTGCTGTGTGTTGGGTGCACGCCGACGAGCTATTCTCCAAGTAGTGCTGCCGTCTGGGCTGGGGGCCCAAGCGTGAACGCGGCAGGGGAGTGTCAACGGGAGTTGTTGTTGGCCCCGTCCTCGCTTGGGCGGAGCCGACCTCGCGGTCGGGTGTGAGGAGTGCAGCCGACCTGCAATAGTGGGCGAGCTGGTCGACGGGCCTGGTCGACCTGCACAAGGGCCATTGCAAGGGCGCCGACTTTGGGAGGGCGCCAACTTCGGCTGGCCAACTTGGGAGGTCGACCAGTGGAGGGCGTCAACTTGGGTGACGCCGACCAGGGGAAGCCGACTGGGTGTGGTCGGCTGACAGGTGTACTCGTCGACTTGGAGTTGGTCGGCCAGGTGGGTTGTCGAGCTGGAGTTGGTCGACCAGGGGAGTGGTCGACCTGGTGTGGTCGACATGAGGTGGTCGTCGACCTGGGTGGTCGACCGGCTTGGGATGACACACCTGGTCGACATGGTTGCCTGGTCGACCAGGTTACCCAAACGACGAGGTCTGCGAGGTTCGCAACTGTCGCCCAGGTAGATTGGCAAAGTCGACCTGCGGTTCGGTGGCACGGGGTCGACATGACTCCTCAGGTGCAACTGTCGACATGTGGTCGATGTCAGAATGTATTTGCTGTCTAGCCTGCAGTGGGGTACTCTGTAGTGAGTACAACCCAATTTAGGGTTTTGTATTTGTATCCCAACTCTTGCTAGTGAATCCATTCCTCTCGGCATTCTCCTTTCCAACCCTCTCGACACCAAACTCTCTCGACATTCAATGCTTACCTCGACACTCACTAGCCATGGCTCCTAAGTCACGCTAGTATTCTCACATGGTATTAAGAGCATAACTTTCCTAGGACCTAATGTTAATGGGCCCACCACCTCCTGCCCTGCTAGCCTAGGCCCCGGCCCGTCGCCCCTTGGCGTCGCCCCTAGCCCCAAGGCTTGGCCCCTTGGCCCCGTCGCCTCGGCCCCTTGGCCCCGTCGACTCCGTCGCCCCGCGCCCGGCCCGTACTTAGCCCGCGATCGGCCCGTACCTAGCCCGCGCTCGGCCCCGTTCCTAGCCCCGCGCCCGGCCCGTACCTCGCCCGCGCCTGGCCCCGTACCTAGCCCGCGATCGGCCCGTACCTAGCCTCGCGACCGGCCCGTACTTAGCCCGCGATCGGCCAGTATCTAGCCCACGCCCGGCCCCGTACCTAGCCCCGCGCCCGGCCCCATTCCGCGCCCAGCGCCCGGCCCAGCGCCCTGCCCCGTACCTGCTAAGCGCCCGGCCCCGTACCTGCCCAGCGCCCGGCCCCGTACCTGCCCAGCGCCCGGCCCAGTACCTGCCCAGCGCCTGGCCCCGTACCTGCCCAGCGCTTGGCCCCGTACCTGCCCAGCGCCCGGCCCCGTACCTGCCCAGCGCCCGGCCCCGTACCTGCCCAGCGCCCGGCCCTGTACCTGCCCAGCGCTCGGCCCCGTACCTGCCCAGCGCCCGGCCCCGTACCTGCCCAGTGCCCGGCCCCATACCTGCCCAGCGCCCGGCCCCGTACCTGCCCAGCGCCCGGCCCCGTACCTGCCCAGCGCCCGGCCCAGTCCCTGCCCAGCGCCTGGCCCCGTACTTGCCCAGCGCTCGGCCCCGTACCTGCCCAGCGCCCGGCCCCGTTCCTGCCCAGCGCCCGGCCCCGTACCTGCCCAGCGCCCGGCCCCGTCCCTAGCCATGGCCCCGTCGCCCCTAGCCATGGCCCCGTCGCCCCTAGCCATGGCCCCTCGCGACTTGCCGCCCCTAACCGCGGCCCCGGTGCCCTGTTGCAACATGGTGGGTGAGGGGGTGGCAAGAGGGGGTTCTTCCTGCCCGCGTGCCCTACAGTCGCACGCGCAGCTCCGCCCCCGCCCCCCTCCCCCCCCTCCATGGGGATGGCGGGGAGAGGGTGAGAGGGGGTGGCGGATGTGCCTCAGCAGCAGCAGCTGCCGCGACGCCTCCTCCTCTCTCTCTCCCTGCCGCACCTTGTGTTGGGAGAAGGGGGGGGGATCTTGGAGGTTCAGGGGGAGGCAGGAGGGTATCTGCAGCACCAGGTCCCCCACCCTTCTCCTACCTCCCCCTGCTGCGGGTGCAGCAGAGGGGGGGAGGGGATCTGCAGCACCGACCCCCCCCTCCCCCTCATCCTTCTCCTACCTCCCCCTGCTGCGGGTGCAGCAGTGGGGGGGAAGGGATCTGCCATCCCCCTGCTGCGGATGCGGCAGTGGGGGGAGGGGACCTGCAGCACCTGCCCCCCCCGCCCCCCCTTCTCCTCCATCTCTCTGCTGCGGGTGCAGCAGTGGGGGGAGGGTATGGGGGTGGCGGGTGTGGCCAACCTGCTGTCGCCCGAGCGGCTCCTGCACCCCCCCCCCCCCCCCCCCCTTTTCTCCTCCATCCCCCTGCTGCGGGTGTGGCGGTGGGGGGGAGGGGATCTGCAGCTCCAGCCCCCCCCCCCCCCCCCCCCCCGCCCCCCCTTCTCCTCCGTCTCTCTGCTGCAGGTGCAACAGTGGGGGAGGGTATGGGGGTGGCGGGTGTGGCCAACCTGCTGTCGCCCAAGCGACTCCTGCACCGCCCCTTCTCCTACCTCCCCCCTGCTGCGGGTGCAGCAGTGGGGTGGGAGGGGATCTGCAGCACCAGCCCCCCCCCTCCTCCCCCCCCCCCCCCCCTTCTTCTCCTCCATCCCCTGCTGCAGGTGCAGCAGTGGGGGAGGGTATTGGGGTGGCGGGTGTGTGAACCATCCCCTGCTCCTCCTCCTCCTCCGTCTCCCACTGCTGCAGCTGCCGCTGAGGGGGATGGGTGTGTGGGAGCCGAGGGAGTGGTGCTAGGTGGGTGACATGGGAGTGGAGCTAGGGGTGCAGCAAGGGGTGTGTGAAAGGGGGGTGGGACAGTTGGGGGAGGTTGAGCGGAGGCTGCCGTCTTGTCGCCCGCAGCACCTGTAGTCCGGGGCTCTGCTTCTGGTAGCTCAGAGAGCCTGCTGCGCCTGTCGCCCGTGGGTCTGTTGCTCCAGCCGCTCAGAGTTAGCCGCAGAGCCAGTTACTCCTGCAGTCCGGGGATACGGCTCCGGTAGCCACCGTGCGCGCTGCTCCTGTTGCCCGTTTGTCTGCAGCATCAGCCGTCGCCTCCTATCTCCTCTCCTCTCACAGTCCAGCCTCCTCCTCCTCACTTGCCCTTTGTGAATGCCTCTAGCTTTGCTTGTACTTGTGAACCTGCTCTATGACTGCTTGCTCTGCTGATTATACCCCACTTTGACTATGGGGGTGTGTCAGAATGTATTTGCTGTCTAGCCTGCAGTGGGGTACTCTGTAGTGAGTACAACCCAATTTAGGGTTTTGTATTTGTATCCCAACTCTTGCTAGTGAATCCATTCCTCTCGACATTCTCCTTTCCAACCCTCTCGACACCAAACTCTCTCGACATTCAATGCTTACCTCGACACTCACTAGCCATGGCTCCTAAGTCACGCTAGTATTCTCACAGTCGACTTGGCACCTGCGCAATGTGCGTGGCGGTGCATGTCGTCACCGTTACCTTGCACCTACGAAGTAGGTGCGCGCACATGAGCACGTGTGGTGACATGTGGTGGCCTGTTGTTGGTGTGCTGGCACGCCAGCCTTGCAGGTTGATTGAGGACGCATGAGGTCGACCAGCTGGCAAGTCGCCTTCATGCTGAGCTGGTGGTCGACTTGCATGCTAGGCTTCTGATGTAGTCTACCTTGCCAATCTAGTTGCTACCATTGTTCTCAACTTTTGCTAGTGAAACTCTTGCGGTTTTGCCCTGTGAACGCAGAAGTGCTAGAGAACGACTGAGTGAACGAACGCAGAGATCCCTCCTACCCCGTGCCTAGCCCGTAGTCTAGCTCCCGTTGATAGAGTTATCTCCGCATTGAGTAGATCCGGACAATATTGCTTCCTTGCTATTTTGCTCTCAAAACCCACACTCGTCGTACCCATTATTTGGTCACCTCGTGGAATTCGCAAACAGTTCAAGAATTGTTCTCTGCTTCCCATTGCGTTTTGGATACATGCTCAAACATAGAAGTGGGGTGTAGATGCATTGGTACCAGACACTAATTTCTTTGGTACGTGACTTTTGGCAAAAAGATCAAGCTTGACGGCGCCTTGGTCGATGGAGGACAAAGAGCAGTTGTTTGTCGTATTGCAGGTACTGCTGTGGCTACACATGGAAGAGGCAGTCATAACTCAAGTACGGTCAGTGCTGCATAACTGCAATTTTGGATAAGCTTTGAGGGGGGGGGGGGGGTGTGGATGCATATTCGGCTCGTGACGAAAAATGAGGCCCACGTACTTGACGGTAGGGAGGAAGGATGAGGTTGGGAAGTGGATGATGACGGTTTAAAAGAGGAAACGCGCGTTGCTGCTTACTGATGATTGACCTCATTAAGGAGTAAGGAACTGCGATTCGTTGCAGCACCAAGATCGGATAGTGTAGCCACACTTGGAGCAGGCACGAGAATGGGAAGCAACAGTAGGAGAAATTAGGAAGGACGGAAAGTGGGGACCATTACAAGATAGTGATAGCAGTAGCAACAACTCGGCATATGAGGCAAACCATAAGTGCTTTGTTTTCTTTGGGAGTCTAAGGGAATGGCTCTTGCGGGTTTGTGCCTTAGCTGGGATGAAGGACACGTATGACAACGATGACTTCATAGAAAGAAATCCTTGCATTTTTACAACAAGGTCGTGGGCTCAAAGGCATGGCATAAGTACCAGATAAGGAGGAGTAGGATGATAAGACGGAAGTAGCGGTTGTTAAGGCAGTCACAACAAAAGGAGGGGAGCAGCTGCGAATAGGGTTTAGGACTAGCCACAAGTTTACTCCTCATGCCTTTGACTTGAAGAGTGCTCGAGCCGCCTGAGATTCAGGGATTTCGATTGGGAGATGGACGAGTGGTGAAAGCTAGTCATTGAATGGGTGAGGGGGTAGCCATTGGAGTTGGAGGTGCAAAAGGCTCACTATGTGGCTGAGTTGCATACATGTCGATGTTTCACATCTTGGACACATCTTGGAGCATTACTGTATCAATTGAGAGTTAGTCTTGCGTGAAAGAATGCTAGCGACCACAAAGAGAGCGCTACGGCAAGAGAGGAAGAGTTTAGAAGGGGCCATGGATCGGCGCGAACGTCTCGCCTTCTTGCTCGAGGCACACAAGGTAGTGCTTTTGGACTTGGATCCTTCTACTCTTTCTCTTCTCTAACCCTTGCTTACCCCTGATTTGGCCGTAATGTCGCTACCACTCAATATCAGATGGCTCGAAGCAAAATTCTGAAAGGCCTGAAGTTTTGGGGGGCAAGTGCGAATTGTTCTCCATGCGAGCCATGCTTGTTGAGAAAGTCAACCATATATATTTTCCATCATATGCATCACAAAAACCTGGCCCTTGATATATTTTTATTAGAGAGTTGTGTGGCCCTATGTGTACACTATCTTTTGGGGGGGGGGGGGGAGGGGGGGGGTTGGTGCAAATACTCTGTCCGATGGACGACTTTACTAGATAGGTTTGGCCATTCCTTCTCTTAACAATAAACCTGAAATTGCCGCACTTGTCCTTCGTAGTAGCATGTGGAGATGGAGTTGGAATATATGCCAAAGCTAAAAAATCATCACTTAAGCAGTGGCGGTGAGTTCCTAGAGGAAGCTGTGAAAGCATGTGAAGATTGAATTCGGCACTCGAGCTCATCTGAGTATTGTAGAGACACCAAAGCGGAATGGCGCACCGAAAAGGTCGCACACGATGATAATAGAGGGGATTCATACATTCTTGGTCGCTTGTGGGCTAAATCATGGGTGTTATGGGTTTAGAAAAGGATGTCACATAGTGCTTAGTGTGCTTTCATCACCCCCGATGGCATCGTCTAGTCAAGAGCCGCATGTGAACATGGTTTGGATTTGAGGTTTGAGGGAAGCGTCATGTTGCATGGGCATTTGGAGGGTGGAACGTTAGATGCGCATATTATCATGTGTGTGTGTGTGTGTGTATGTGTGGGTGTGTGTGACCTTGGAGGACAAGAGCTCAAGACCACTGCAGATAACACTTGTCTTTGATTATTGAAGAACTGCTACTCCTTGCCACTACGTGCAAAGAGTCTAATTGTCGATGTTGATGGTGACAGCGCTGTCGAGATTCCCCACTGGTTTGACGAAGTGTCCAGTTTATTGCCCAAGAGAGCCTTGTCCGCAGCAACTGTCGAATAAACATATTTGAGATATGTGCTCTTCAATGGCTGCAACATGGGCATATTTTAGAATTGATTGCAGGGGAGTAGGCAAGTGTGTCGGCGCTTCACCACGATCGTGAGTTGGTGGTGAGTCTTATGGCACATGTGCATACTTTTTCCATTAAACGACTCGGACAGTTGCTAATACAGATGTTGGTCGTAACGATAGTTGTGCTGTGGGTTTTGTAGCAGCAACGACTTTCCTGGAGTGACTGCAATATGAAGCTTGTTAAAGATGAAGACATCGATCCCATGAATGTCATGGGGACGTCGCTGCAGTTATGACGAATCATTGGTACGGAATGGCGCTGTTTCTTATGTAGATTCGATCTGCATCGACTGGTCTACACTAATCAGACTTCTTGGTGTGTTTTGCATTGTGCAGGTCCATATCCTATTGTTTGACTAGGAGCATGGCACACAGCTGCATCTCAAATACATTCCCAGGCACAGTCGCCACTGAGGACCAAGACCAGCAAGGATGACGGTGCCGGACATATTGTGAGGGAAGTTCTTTCCACGCCAAAAGAATTGATTTTGTAACCTTTTATATCGGTTGACATAGGTCATTGCCGATTGTCCGGTTTCATTCGCATCGATGTTAGCTGCGCCATGAGTTTGCGCTGTATGCTTTTATTTGATGGCTGATTTAGGGTCTAAGGCTATTGTCATGCTGATTCTGCTGAGTTGTCGTAGACTTGGTAAGACCTAGTGTTCTTCTACTCTGTTAGTGACAAGTTGCAAAGACAGAGTGTACGCCAATAACGATTGAAAGCTTTGATGCCTTTTCTCTCGTTAATATGGCATTTGGAGTCGTTAGTGAACATTGACAAAACTTGAGTTGCTCCCACCAACAACTGAAACTCAAAACTCAAAGCAAATAAATCACTCTCATCAAAAGGTGTTTGGGTTTTCATATTAAATTAATTTGAGAGATCGTGCATGATAGGTAAGCGTTGCTTCACTTATTAATAGTCCTTCACGCTGTTGTTGTTGCTTATGATCTGCAAGGAGTGTCTATTGGGACAAAGGTGAAGAAGA